CTGGTGGGGCACCTCGCGGGTGATGACCACCACGCAGTCCTGCTCCTGGGCCGGGGGCGGAGCGGGCGGGGCGGGCGCGGGGTCCTTGGGTGCGTCCGGAGAGGTGAGCATGCTGGAGGGCACCGAGGCCACGAAGTGGCCGCAGTCCTGCTGGATGTTGAAGTGCACGGGCACAGCCGGGCTGCAGTAGGAGGCCACTTTGGGCTCGGGGGTTTTGCAGATCTGCGGGGAAAAGGAGAGGTGAGGTCAAGAGGGGGAGCCATCATCTGTTCCACAACCGGTGTTGGGACATTTGGAAATCCCCCCGTGAAAAGGTGAGCTGAATCTTCCTTCACGCCATGCATACAAATGAACTCAAAATGGTCACAGAGACTCAGGTGTAAGGGCCCAAGCATACACATGTTAGAAGAAAACATAGGCGAGAATCTTTGAGACCTTGGGTTGAGCAAAGACATCTGGTGGCATACCAAAACCATGCATGGTTCCTCAAAGAAAGAACTGATAAGTTTGGCCCCATCAAAATTCAAAACTTTTATGCTTTAAAATATACCTTTAAGAAAAAAGAAAGGCAAGCAACAGACAGGGAGAAAATATGTGCAAGACACATATCTGATAAATGAGTTCTACAAAAAAACTCTTACCACTCAGTTATAAGATAAACTTCCCAATGAAAAAGTAGGGCAAAGATATTAACAGGCATTTTCACCAAAGAAATATGTAAATGACCATAGGCACATGAAAAGATGTTCAACATCATGAGTCATTAGGGAAATGCAAATTAAGCCCACAGTGAGATACTGGCTGACGCCCGCTAGAATGGCTGTAAGAAAAATGACAGACAATAGCAAGTGTCTATGACAATGTGGAGAAATGGGAACACTGATGTATTGCTGGTGGTTTGTAAAAACTGTAGTCACTTCAAAACACGGTTTGGCAATTTCTTAAAAAATTAAAAGTAAAATGATCACACAACCCAGTAAGAGTGGGGTCCCTGAGCAACAACATACGGTGTGGCCCCCTGGTATTGGTAGGAAGACTTTCCTCGGCCCACGGTGGACACATTCTCAGGAAGCCAGATCAGAGCCGATAGGCAGTCAGCTTGTTGCCCACCCCTAGCACCTGAATGGGCAGCTACCTGACAGGAGACATGCCTGACCACGGGGGTGCCTCCCTCTTGGGAAGCTCAGGGGCAGATGCAGGCCCTAAGCTTCTGGGCCTTGGCCATGTTCTCTGAGGCTGCCTAGTTTCTAGATCCAGGTTCACGTGCACTGCCTACCAGCTGGCATGACCTGCAGGGCTGACTTCAATGAAACTGCTATGTGAGTCAGAGTGGCTGAAGGAAAACAGAAAGCTCTCCAGGGCCAGGGAACCCAAAGGGCCAAAGGCACCCTCTGAGCGGAAAGTAGGAATAAACAAACAAGTGATCTCAAGCTCCTCTGGGGAATCCCCACAACCGTCCCTTCCACATCTTTTTGTATTAATGACAATGCCGGCCACCCGGGACCTTTAGCCGCCCTAATCCTCATTGGGTCGCCGCACAACTGGAGAGCCTTGAGCCAGACACCCTGGGCCTCCAGTGCCCTGTAATTACACTGAAAGGGACTGAAGATGGTCTGTTATCTCCTCTCCCAAAGGCTAGTGCACAGCCTCAGCCTCGCTTTAGAGAAGGTAAGGATCAGTGTGTAATCCCCAGAAGAAAGGCTTCTCGCATCCATCCAGGAAACATCGTCCTGCGGACAATCCCAGAATAACCCTTCGGGCGACTGCGTGGCCCCACTCAGGTGACTACAATGGTCTCAATGCGCCATGATGCTCACAGATGCTGTTTCTAGAAGTTCCACAGCAAGCACTTTTCCCAGAGATTTATTTATGCTGCAGCTATAGAAACCTCTCAGCATGAAACCTGGGATAAGAGTTCAGCCTCTTAGGAAACTTTTATCAACTAAATTGGGAGGCGGGGGAGGTAACACATTAATCTAATAATTTCTCTGCTATAGAAGTGGAATAGAAATAGAAGGGAAGTGCATTTACCCCAGACATTGGTTCCATTATACCAGCAAACATGATTTTGGAATAGCTTGTCTAGAGGGCATTGTTGCAGGCTCTTTCTTATTCAACTATCTTTAGCTTTTAAATGGCCGGCTTCTGCCCAGCTGGTGTGGTTCAGTGGTTGAGCGTCGACCTATGAACCAGAAGGTCACACAGTTGGATTCCCTGTCAGGGCACAGGTCCCAGTTGCGGGTTTGATCCCCAGTGTGGGGCATGCAGGAGGCAGCCGGTCAATGACTCTCTCTCATCATGGATGTTTCTCTCTCTCCCTCTTCCTTCCTCTCTGAAATAAAAAAAATATAGATATTACAAATAAATAAATAAATGGCTGGCTTCTGGAACACTACTAACCTAAAGAAAATTTAGGGGAGTGGTCCTCACAAATAGCCTTGCCTGTAGATACCAACCACTGCGCATGGGCCGGCCGGCAGCGCTGTCTATGAAGATGTGGGAAACGCAGTGCTGATGTCTGGCTCACTCCCTCCAGTGAGGGTATCTCAACCACATGGCCACCTACTGAACTCCTGCGTGTGCGAGGCACTGTGTCTACTCAGCCCTCTACATACTAAGTCTCATTAAATCTCAAACCACCAAATGAGGTAGATGGTATTACAGAAGAGGAAACCGAGGGTTCAAGAGGTTCAACTTGCTCAAGATTATACAACCGACAAGAATTTGAGAGGTCAAAGCATGGGCTTGAGAGTGCAAGAGACCTTGGTTTAAATATAAACTCTGCAAACACTGACAAGTCACCAGCGTGTCTGGTTCTTGCAGCAGTTCTGTTCTAAGAAGTAGCCACACACACACACTGAATTAACGAATACTGAACCACTGCTCCCAAAGGAAATGCAAAGGGAAGTTCTAGCAAGCCTCGGGTTACAACATTTTCATTAGCTGGCCAATATATAACCTTGTTTTATGTGGGTTTCTGTTTAAAGATACCTCATTAACAGATACTGTTGATTCATTAACATTGCACTCACGGCCAACGGCATTTTACCTCCTGCCTGAAAGAAGCTGGTCCAATACTCTCCCAAGGGCACACCACAGCACTTAGGAGCGCTAGACAGGACCTCCATGCTCAGCCCGGCCATTTAAACAGCAACATCACCACCAACAAGCCCAAAAATGTGAAGAATGAGGCAGTAACTAGACCACGGAAGGGGCACTGTTGACAGTGAGAGCTGAAACTAGGTGGAGCGCCCCCTTGTGCCACCTCTGCTGGGAATTTGCAGACTGGGTGATTCAAATCCTCCCCACTCTGTGCATGTCCAGAAATGACCACAAAAATGCCATAGGATTTGAGTTACAAATAAGTTTTAGCAGTGAATTCACAACATGGAATCCATATAGTGAGGACTGACTGTATTTATCTCAAAAGTCTGCCTTCTCCTCTGTGTATAGGGCAGTAACAGCTCCTTCCTCACAGGCCACTGGGAGCATTAAATGACACAACACGGGTGTGGCTTTCAGCACCCTGCCCAGCCCAGGTGAGCAGTCGCTGGGAGAGGTTGCTATGGTGATTGCTCTGACAGGTTTGGCTGCAACCATGTTCAGTGCACACCCCAGAGCTGGTGTGTAGGTTATTGTGCCAAAAAGAGGGCACAGCTGCCCGGGGCATGGGAAACGTTTCCAAGGATCCCCTTTCTCCAGGGTCTCAAAGGCCTGGGCCCGGCAAACATTCCCAGTGGAGCGGCTGACAGTTTGCACAGAGATGTAAATGAAGGAGCAGCGTCAATGGCAACTGGGCTGGATGTGGTTCAAAAATCAGTGAGCGGGTCACCTGGCTGCACAGACAGCTGGGTAGAGGGACAGGGGACAGGAAGGGGGGCAGGAGGCTTTCTTCCCATCCCCATCTGCCCCACCCCCTCATTTCATTTTCAGGGGTCCGCCCTTGGGTTTTTTGGCCCAAGACATTCACACAAACCTTTGATTCAACTCACATTTCAAACGTTTTGTTGAGCCAAGTCTCACTTTAAACTTTGCAGCCTGGGCCTCATTCACTGTTGAGAATCTGGGCTAAGTCACGTCTGTTCAAAAAGGAATAAAGGCCAAGCTGGCTCAACACAGGTCCCTAATTACTCAACTGAAGCTCTAGGTGGCCGAGGAATGCACTGGGCTTTGAAACCTCACACGCAGTTTATGATTTTTGCCTGCCCCATATGCATGAGCAGGGCTACAGAGCAGCCTTCCTCTCTGCCTTCCTCTCCTTGCTGCTGCAAGAACCTCGGCCCAGCATTAGTGGGAGCAGGTGCGAGCCGGCCTTTGTTCATGAGGCTCCCAACCGAGGCTCCTGCTCACCAGGCGCAGATGAAATGAGCTCGGCGACAGACAGGCTCCGGAAGGGGGACCCGCTCCCCCGCTCGCCAAGGCCAGACGACTGTACTCCCGTCTAGACCACGCAGCTAATGAGGTGGAACAGCTGCACGTGGGAAATGATGCTCCACACCCTGCCCGCCGCCCCCAGCACCAGGCCGGGCACATGTACAAACGGATATTGTTGTTCCCCCGTCTCTGAACATTTCAAGCTCTTCTCCAAAGCTTCTCCACGGTACAGAGGTAATCCTTGCACTGCCAAGTGTCTGGCAAAATCAGATGGGGGGCACGCGGGCCCCTCTTCCTTCGAAGACCAAGGCCGATCTTCCCGTTCCCTCACCGTTTACTTTCCTACCGAAATGAGAAGCAACGTTTGCCTTTAACATCCTCTGGGGAAGCTGGGTTTTCTGCACTGGCCGTCAGAGAACGTAGCCAATTCAACATTATGACAGGAGGTTCTAGAATGCAAGCTGCATGTCACAGTCACGTGGATAAAACCCCAAACCTCAGCAGATCTTGTGCCGGGGGCCCCTTGGTTCTTTGCAGTAGGGTCACATCGCTTTAACCCCAGGGGCAAGAGGGACGAGGCCTCTTCCACTCTCTCCCTCTCGCGATGGAGAGGTCAGCTGTCTCCTGACAGTGAAAGAGCGCCCAGGTCCAGCCCAGGAGACGAGGAGAATGACGGATGCACTTGAACCAGAAAGGCAGATGCAGAGGGAGGATTCACAGCTCCCTTCCTCAGGTTCACTGGGGCTAGTGAAAATGAACTTCCTAAAGGCGCCTCCACCCCCTTGGCATTCAGGGATCTCAAATCTACTTCATTGGGTGGATGCAGACCCCTGGCTCTGGGCTGAAGGTGGTCAGGGGCTAATCACATTCAGTTCACTGGAGGGTCCACTCACTTCTTCCTCTACTGGATGCAGCACCATCCCAATAGGAGGGGAAATGCCGGCATTGTTTTTTCTTCTTCTTCTTTTAATCGTGGTTGGGGGCGTAGCAGGGAAGGGACCTTACCAAGGGAGTAGCGGCTGGGGTTAGATATAAAGAGCCAATGAAGTTCAGGAAGTCCATGGACTCTCATTCCTGACCTTTGTGTTTTCTTCCGTTTAGTGCCCACCATCTGGCCACAGCCCTTAGTCTTCCAGGGCCTTGATTTCTCTACAATAACTGGATCTTCCTAGTAGCCACCCCGCCCTCGTTTTTTCATAGGAAGGCAGCAGGTAATTATATACAGTTCCTTGGACATAGAAATCAGCAGCTCCCAATCTATAATTTATGGTGGTGTCGCTAATTTCTTAAAAGAAAAATCTCAACGTAAAATTCATTGCTGTTTTCCTTGGCTAATAATTGTAATCTTTTAAAAAAAATTTCACTCTTAAGTAGGAAGCTGCCCCATCAAGGCTATTTCACATTCGTTCACTATTTCCATTTTTTCTAATATCTTGGGACAGATGATAGCAAAAGAGAGCTCAGGGTTCCCCTCCTCATTCCCAACCAAAAGCCTACATTTACAGACAGGCCATAGACCCACCAGACAGTCAAGGCCACTAAAAGGAGATGAAGAAAGAAGTCACACAGATAGACTTGAGTCAGTGGCCAAGAGCCAAATGGCCAGATGTGTGCAAACGCTCAACCATCTGGCTCGGAACTGCGCCCTGAGAGAGCAGTGGGGTGTGGCAGCAACAGCCCTGGCCCAGTGGCAAAGATTAAAGAGCTGTGTTCCCTTGGACTAATCACTTAGCTTCTCCGAACTTCATTTGTCTTAACTGACATGATGGTAACATAGACAAGACAAAGCATTCATCTCAGCCACCCGCTGACTATGGGCAAATTACTTAATCATTTTAAGCTTCAGAGTCATCACCTGTGAAACCTACCCACCCTGTGAGGATTCAAGGTCATGTAGTTAATGCAGCCAGAAAAGAGTCTAGTTGTGTAGTGAATGCTCAGTCAATGTTCTTACCCTTATTGTTCTAGGTCTAAGTCTCCTGGCTCTATCTGAAGGACAATACCCTAAATGTCCATCTTCTGTGCTAGATTATTAGCTCCATAGGAACCTTATGTCCACCTCTCTATACTCAGACCTTGACAAAATAGTTGGCCTATTGTAGGCACTCAGTAAAAACCCACTGAATAAATGAAGGAACTCTCTGTTGCATAAAAGACAACCGCTATCTTAATCCAACGAGATCACCTAAGTTCATGCCTGGAAGCACCGAATGAATCATCTATTCATAGTGCAAATCTCTCTGCACCATGCCCTTCGCCAGGCAGAGAGTGAGATCACTGAACATTAAGTGTCAAAAGGGACCTTCGGACTCAACCCTCCTCCCGAAGCCTAAAGAGGCGGGAGGACTTGCTCCAGCCACAATCCCACCAAAGCCAGGACCAGCTGGCTGTGCTGCAGATTAGGAGGGTGGTACCTACTTTCACAGCATAGGTGCTGCCGGGGTCCTCGGAGCAGGTGGCACAGTAGTAGATGGCATCCCCCGAGTCACAGCAGGGCTTGTTGCAGGTCAGCTTGAAGAGCGACCAGTTGTTCTCATTGAAGTGCAGCTCCTTCTTCTGGGGGCCCATGAACAGGTCCTCACACTTGGCCCCGAGGCGGACGAGGGACTGGGCGTAGAGCCCCACCAGCTTGGCGTGGGTGCCCTCCTTGCTGCTGATGCTGCTGAGCAGGCCGTGGAGCTGGAGCTGGTTGCTGCTGGTGGAGGCCTGGCTGGCCACGCTCAGCTGGGAGGATGAGGCCGAGGGCACCCCCTTGCACTGGAGGCTGGGGCTCCCGCTGCTGCTTCTGCCACCTGCCAGCCCCGGTGCTGGGACCCAGTGGCCATTGCCTTTGAAAGTTTTCTCCAGAGGCCCCGAAGAGAAGGCGTGATGGTGGCGGTTCCCATGGCCGAAGTGGGACTCCTCATGCGCGCGGACGTTGATCTCTGAGTGGCTGAGGTTTAGCTTGGGACTTGCTGCTCTGGGCTTGGGGGAGCCCTGGGTCCAGCAGAAGCCATCGGGTGAAGAGGCCGCCCGGCTCACTAACTTCTTCTGGGGGAGGGGTGGGGGCTGCAGGGGGCTGCTGCGGGACACGTCCTCGGTGGAGCCCGAAGGGAATGGGACAGGAGCAAAGAGCTTCTTCCCACTGTTGGTGGGCGAGTGAGGCGGCTCGGATGATGGACCTGAAATCGAGAAACAAATAGGCTGGAGGTCAATGCCATTCATCCCAGAACCCCTGGGCTTGCATCTACCTACTACCTACCTGTCTGTCTGTCTAGCTGGCAAGCTAGCTATCTCAAAGCAATTCATTTTATTTTTATTTACCTCTCGAAGTGACGCTATCTGCACAATGAAAACAATTTAAATGCAAAAACAGTGTACAGCCCTGGCTGGTGTGGCTAAGTGGACAGAGCATCGGCCTGCACACTGAAGGGTGATGGGTTTGATTTCTGGTCAAGGGCACGTACTTGGGTTGCAGGTTCAATCCTCGGCCCCAGTCAGGGCGAATTCAAGCAGCAACCGATCGACGTGTCTCTCTCACATTGATGCTTCTCCCCCACCCTCCCCATTCCTGCCCACTCTCTAACAATCAATGGAAAAATACCCTTGAGCCAGGATAACAAAAAAACAAATGGTGTATACAGCTAACGAAGTCTTCCTTTCTCCGGCCCTCAGCACCCAGGCCCTCAGAGGAAACCATTGCAGCAATTTCCCATGCATCCTTCTTGAGATATGCCAAACAAACCAACACACACTGTGCAAACATATACACGAAAAAGCAAATCTGCCCACTGTCTGTAATATTGCTCTTCTTCACTTGATGCAACATCTTAAAGATACTTCACAGCAGGTGTACAGATCTATCTAGCTCCATTTCACAGCGATCGATCATATATCATCATTTGCAAGTATCATAATCCATTTATCCAGTCCCCTCTTGAATGTCACTGAGGTTGCTTCCGATACTTTGCAAACAATGCTGCAACAGCAGCCACAAACCTGAACATGTGCAGTTTGGCTGGATTTTGTTAAAAAGTCAGGTTTATAGAGGCTACAATTTACCTACCGTAAAATTCCTCCCTTTTAGTGTGTTGTTCTAGGAGTTTTGACAGACACTGTGGTGGCTCTGGGGCAGGCCCGGCCCACAGACATTTTAGAAGGCACTGGAAGGTGACTTTAGTAAAAACAACAGCAGCAAACAGATCTCAAGGGAAAGCAAGTGTGTCCTGAGCCTGCAGTCCCAGAGTGGTGCCCGGGGTTGGGGGAAAGTCCCACATGGCCACAGGTCTCCACAGAGCATGGCAGCGTTCAGCATCGTCCCTGGAGATGAGATGAAGGGCTGGCCCAGACAGGGCGGAAACTGCTCTTTACTCTCTGTGCCGATGTCCAACGTGGAGGTTTTACAGTGAAACAGGAAGCCAGGTGGTAAAACACGTAAGAAAATTCTATGGACATCGGAAACGGGGAAAGGGCGAATTGAAATAATCCTCATCTGTGTCATTCTAAGAATGGACTGCAAGATGTACCCATTACTTTAATAACAGCTTTTAGGAGGGTTAAAACCAACATTAACTGTGTTCATAGATGGGAAAATGCACCCTGTAATCCTGAAGGTTAAAATGTGAAAGAAATAGGGGTCTTCGATGGAAGGGAACGGGTGCTTATTCCGTGCACCCCTCATTTAGTTCACTGGGCCACGTCACTGTGTGCGCCTGGACCACTCCCGCCTTCGCAGCACAGCTAGAGGAGGAGGCACAGCAAACACACGGGCCTGAAGCCCATGTGAAAGACGCCAAAGGAGGTGAACTATCTGTTAGTGCTGTATCACCTCCCTCGGGTGCACATGACCTTACTAATAGCCTTCTTTAAAAAAATGTTTTTATTGATTTTTACAGAGAGAGGAAGGGAGAGGGATAGAGAGATAGAAGCATCCATGAGAAACATCATCATCGATCGGCTGCCTCCCGCATGCACCTACTGGGGATCAAGCCCGCAACCCAGGCATGTGCCCTGACTGGGAATTGGACCGGCAACCTCATGGTTCTTGGGTTCAACGCTCAACTGCTGAGGCACACCAGCTGGGCTCTATTCGCCTCTATGCCCACACTGAGTCCTTCCCTGCTTTCTCCAACCCAAATGGGGACAGGGTGGCCCCAAAGGTCAAGCACTGGCACGAAGCCCTTCAGATCAACACTGGGTCTGTGACTTAGGATGCCCCACAGGGAGGAGGGACCCTCTCATGACCATGTCCTCAGGGCTCACCTTGCCTCGGACAACGTGGGTGCTGACACCCATGCCCCAGCCTCACTGCCACCCAGACACCCCCCCACAGTGCGTGACAGCAGGGGCCTCCTGCCCAATACAGCCCTGAGTGCAAAGCTCACAGGAGCACAAAGCTGGTGCGCACAGCATGTTGAACACAGGAGCTGGGAAACAACAGGCTCATGCAAGAGAAGCCTGTGCAGTTGAACGAGGCTGGCAGGGCCCACACCCACCATCTGGCACCAGGCCCAGGAGGAGTACAGGATCGTAGACAGTGTCCCTACCCACCTCACCCGCTGGCTGTGACAGGCGGGGCCCAGGTTGAATGAGTGACTTCTGTCCCTTCCAACAGGCCCAGGTTAATTATAAATCAAGCAACAGCGACGCAGTGGGACCAGCCCACTTCACACACCTGTGTACACTCTCCCCTCGACAGTCCGGATGGGGCACACAGGAGCCTATCAGAGAGGAGGGAGAGCCTATCGCGCTGGTCTCCGCAGCTCGAACCCTGGCGTCATAGGTCCCCACCCCACGCTCCCTGTGAAGAAACTTTTCTCCTCCAAGGGCTGGGTCAGGAGTGGGGACAGACGAAGGCTGGGTGGTGAGTCACTTCCTCCCTCCTTCCTCAAGCAGCACAGGCCAAGACGGGGAGAATCGCTTACTAACTCCTAGGCCACAAAAGGGAGGAGCAAGACTCCTTAGTGCGGGGCTCTCACAGGGCCCTGAGCCTTAATAACCAAGCACCCAGGTGATGAGCAAGAAGGGGCCGAGCGGAGCCATGTCCATTCCCAGCCATTCTGCATTCTAGACAGCAGAAGCCTGCTACATCCTCAATTAATTTATTATGAAAATTCAGAAGAGCCTGGTTGGTGTGGCTCAGTGGTTGAGTGTCAACCTATGAACCAATCAAAAAGTCATGGTTTGATTCTGGTCAGGGCACATGCCTGGGCTGTGGGCTTGATCCCCAGTAGGAGCGTGCAGAAGGCAGCCAATCAGTGATTCTCTCATCATTGACGTTTCTATTTCTCTCTCTCCCTTTCTTTCTGAAATCAATAAAAATATATTTAAAAAACACACACACAGAAGATGGGGGATGAGGAGAGAAAGCAGAGTGTCATGAGAATCCCCAGTACATGCTTTAATGAGCGCCTCCAGCAACAGGGGCAGCCTGCCTCCTGGTCCAGTCCAGCGACTGGGGAGGTTCTGCCCAATCAGTCCCTAGTCCCCTCTGTCAATCCTGTGCTTACTCTATGGCCCAATCCTTATTGGCTTTTCCTGGCTGCCTTCCTTGTAAGGGTCTCCTTGATGCCTCCACACGCCCCTTCCTGCCTCCACTCTGCTCTGAGGGATGAACCGTAACCAGCTGTCGACCTCCCCACCACCGAGTTTCCTCACTTTAAAATGGACTGGATGGCACCGCCGTGAAGGCCCCTTCCAGGGCCAATAGTCTATAATTTCAGCCACTCCCTCCATCTCGACCTCTCCTAACATGCACTTTGTCTCAAAGCTGCCCCTGAAATAAAATACCTCGACGCAGATGGCTATGTTGCTCAACCTTTCCCTCCCTATCTCTTCCCACAGCTGCCGATGGCG